GAAAAGAGGCCTGTTCTTTTTCAAAGAATTCTGAAGTATAATGCAAGCTAAGAGTAAAACAGTAAACTATATATAACTGATTGTATCAGTTCAAAATTGGAATGAAAAAAAAAGAGAGTCTTAAGTTTCTCAATCGTCATTTGTTTCACCTGTTTGATGTAAGAATTAATTTCTGGGTTTTCAATGGTCTCAGGATTCATCTGACTGCTCGTGGGTTTTTCCATGTTCTCTGATAAATAGCGTATTCGATAATATCTATATCTAATCAAGAATATATAATTCAAGAAATTATTTCGAATATACTCGATCTACAGTCAGATAATCGTGAAGTTTATGCGTGTCAATAATTATAACATTAATATCATTTGTGAAAGATTAATAGAAAATTCTAAACTTAAATCTCACTTATTCTTAAAAATCATATTTTTCTCGCGTAATTATGCGCCCGCGTATGCAAATAGTATCCAATTTCAAACTAATGGAATCAGTGTTGCCACTGTAATTTATTAATTTACCTGTAATTTTTTGTGTTCGATTTCAAACCAATCAATGGCGGGACGACTTGTAGATCTGTTAGAAATTTAGAATTGAACTCACTGGAAAGAGGGTAGATTTGAATGAACGCGGGAAACGGGAATGTTCAAGATTATATATTAATATGACATGATTATATATTGATAAGGTTTGCCAAGAAAAAAAGAACGATAAAATTGGACAGGAGAAGCGATTTATTTATTTATTTATTGATAGGTTAGTATATACATTTGTGAGATAATTGTAATAATTGTAATAATAATAAATAATGATAATAATACATTTGTGTTCATATTAAAGGCATGCCAAAATCATTATGCCAAATCGGCTGAACAATCGACATTATTATCAATTAAAGCAGATGCCAGACAAACGTGATGTTAATCAAGGTATCTCTCGGCCGTATTTGCGTCATCCAGGAGCATTATATGCAAGAGCAGGAGAATACGTCGAGTTCGATATGCAAATGCTGCATTTTTACGCACCAAGGATGGAAATGAATACTTGTGATACTTATATGTATGATGATTACGCACCGAAAATATGATTTTAAGAAAATCAGAAGGACGAGACTTCGATTTTGATTGACTTAATCAACATTGTTTTATTAATATTCGTTTCTATCAATGCAGATTAACTTTACTCTTTTAGTTTTTTGTAGTTTTAAAAATTGGGAAAGGATAAAAAATAAATTAAATCGAGATTAAAGTTAACATTGATAGAAATGGACAAATAAGTAATATGAATAAAACTCCAAACAGCTCAGATGTCCCTATGTTTTCTGAATTAGCATCGAAGAATATTCTCAAGATATTTCTTAAATAATGATTAAAGTGAACTGTATAAGACTATTAAATTAATTAATAGAATTATATTTAATGTATAACAAAAAGATTAAGAAAAACAAATTGTGTATTTGGTTTAGAGAATTTGGTTTAAACAATTCCATTGGCTCATTTCTACCAATGTAGATTTAACTTTAATCTCAAGAGTAATTTACTCTTCATCTTTTCTTAGAATTTTTAGACCCGGTTCTATCAATGTAAAATTAACTTTATATAATCTCGATTTAATTTACTCTTTATCTCAATTTTAAGAATTAGAAAAAGATAAAGAACAAATTGAATCGAGATAAGTTAATCTACTCTTTGGTAAAAACGGGCATTAGAAGTAGAAGAAAATGAAAAGTTAATGTAAATCGAGATTGAAGTTTATTTATGTTGTATAGAAATGGATATCTGTATGCTAATCAAGAATTATATAATTGTCGAAGTGAATCAGAATTTATTCGAAGTCGCCTTAAAGATTTGCTTCAAAATGAGAGAAAGGTAAAAACATAAAGATTTTTTTAGAAATTTTCAAACTTTGTCTTCCTTATAATTTATACTAAATTAGCAAAACCTGAGCTTGACGCAGATGCAGACGAGGCAGCTTGATGCAGATGCAGTTTCCAGTAAACACCAAACACTAAAAGTAGACATGACATCAATGTTATAATTTCACATACAATGTAATTGTTATGTATATAGACTAGATGATGTATTATATTTATATTAAGTATGAAAAATTATAATACTATAATGTTATGTTACTTTTAATTGCTGATGTTTCCTGGGTTAATGGTGTTAATATATCGCAATATTTTACTCAAATCTAATATATTTAATATTTCAGATACTATAACTGTTATTTTTACCTGTTTGGCTCACGATTTAATTAAGTCTCTTAAGTTTCATCTTTACTCTTTTGCCCTTTATGTTCACCCTTTATCTTCATAAATGTAGATTAATTTTAATTTCAACATATTATTCATCTTTTCCTACATTGTTAGAAACTGTTTATATGTAAATGAAACTCGTGATTATGAATTAAATTAAAAATAATGAATGATTTAACCGAAAATTAAGTTACACTAATTACTTAAATGTAATGAACGTATACATTAAATTTATGAAATTTAATGTATTTTTAATAAAATGTTATGAAAAGTACGTTAAATTTCATAAATTTTCATGAAAAATACATTAAATTTTATGTAAATTATATGTACTCAAATATACTTTTTAATTATAAATACATTAAATTTATAATGTAATATCATGAAATTAAGTTCAAATTGTACAACTTAAAATTTAATGAAATTTAAGAACATATATATTTCTAACAGTGTAATTCTAAAAATTAGAAAAAGATTAGACGAGTAAGTTGAATGAACCGAAATTAAAGTCTAGATAAAAACGACATTGTAACAGTATAATTTACAAGCTTTATTTTAAGCGCCGTAAATATAACAATAGAATAAGTCTTATTCTGTTTTTATCTCTTATATAATTGCAGTTTCATTAAAGAAGGTGAGTCTCAATTTAATCTCGATACATAAACGCGCATTGATGCTTCAGGTTGCGTTCCGCTTCCGTAGTACTCCACGTCAGCTGATTCTTCATGCGGCGGCTGTCACAGGCGGCAAATGTGCGCATTTCTGTAGTCCTCGAGCAACCGTTGCGACGTGCGTATGCGCGACACGCATCATCGTCTTTCCTCTGCGACTCGGTATTCCGTATCGCGACGTCGCTGTCTCTATAAGACTCTCAGCTACGAATATGTGAAATGTTTTTGATGCCGCCGTTTAACGCGTGCTCTTTTCTTGCATGACGTATCTCACGGTGAGTAATTTATATATCAGCCATTTGTCATGGGTCGAGATATAAAATTTATTTCAAAATGATGTCATATCATAAATGCGGAAATAAATCGGGAGTGCTTAAGAAGTATCTCCAATTGTTTTGTAAATTTCAAACGTTCAAAATTTTTCTTTTAAAAATCGAAAAATGAAAAGAAATAAGATATGTTTGCAGGATAATAGAAAAAAATCATTGTATATTCTGTTTTTCGAAATTAATCTTTCGCTTTCCGTTTAATCACAGCTCATTTTTTAAATTAAAAGAATTATGTAATATTCAATGATTTTTAGACAGTATAATGTTAATCATTTTTTATCAGTTTGAAATATTGTAACCGCAGTTTTGCTTTTGTATTGTGATTAATGTTATTAAATTAATGTTATTAAATATTACTAAATGAAATCAGTATGTGAATGACTTAAAGGAGGAAGTTATTTCCGAATTTGACTAAATGTAACTAAATAATACAAAAATCTTTAAATGCGTCAAGTCAGGAAAAGGTACAATTAGACTAGGCCGTTCCCTTCTTGTGTAATCTATTCTTTAATTATCTTATCTCTTTATCGCACCTTTGATGATTCTTACTATAAGTTTAAACGTTTACGTGCAAATTATGTCGACTTCGCGCAAATACAAGCAATATAAAACGCGATAAAAAAAACATTATAAAAATTTATTTTGTATTTTATATCACGATAGATAATATTGATCGAGATAATCTTTTTTTTCTTATTAATCCATTTTTTATTTTCTCTCCTGCTCGTTCAAATTTGATCGCAGAACTCGCATGATGTTACATGACAATTGTTCGGCAACTCTGCGATAATCCATTAATTTCTCGAGAAAATTTCCCGTTTTAATGCAGAAGTTAATCGATCATTTTTAATCCAGTTACATTATGTATTTTGCAGAACGTTTCACATGTCTTTCGAGTTCTCCGTGAAGAGGAAAAAGCGTGATAGAAATAAATTTTCCAGAATTCTGCATGAAATAGGACAACGAACTGATAAATAACCGCGTAAAGTTGACTGTTGCTCCGTATCCTGTCGTAAAGGATGTGACAATCACATTGATTACGCGTTGTCTGTAGCTACTTCTCTTTAATTTTCTTCTTCTAGCAAAAAAAATGAAGCATTACACATACAAAAAAATACATACTCTACGCAAATAATAATTACTTGATCGAATTTTCCAAAAGTTTATATCCGCAGATCTATCATAGGTTTATTAAAAGCAAATTTATTCAATATAATATCTTCTGAATTATTCAAAAATATCTTCTGAATTATTCAAAAGAAAATCAAATCTTATATTAAATACGTACTTTAATGAAATTTTATAAAATTTGTAATAAATATATTTTATGATTATTATTAAAAAGTATTTCTTGTCAAAAATAATTATTACTTAAAAGGAAGAAAGTAAATTGCATAATCACTTCTCTTAACAATAGAATATTTTTCTGAGTAAGAATAATTAATAAATTTTCCTAAATTTATTCATACAAAAGAAATTATACATGACTTATTGAAAGATATCTATCACAAAAACACATTTTACAAATTTTATAAAATTGTTTATCCTTGGCTATTAATTAAAAATGTATATCATTTGCCCTTATTTTCATAAACAGGTCTATATTTTGCGCCGTAAAATGGATGCGTAAATGGTTGATATAATTATGCGTATCTATCTCTTTTTATCAGGGTTCATCTCTTCATCGACACCTTTCCCTTCATATAAATTTGTGCCGGTCTAAAGCTTCTCATAACTCATGCACACGCATCGGCGTGAATTCATATGTGAACCGCTTCATTACGTTCATTATGAAGTCAATCGATTGCGCTCGTTATTTAGGTTCGACACATATGGCGTTGTAAGGACACCAAAGAAAGATAAACAACAGCAAGATGTGTGAATAATGCGACTCTTCTCGCTTGTTAACTCTCAGTTTTTTTAACGTGTGTAAATATGATATACATAGGATAATCAATGATTTATATATCAACTTTTAAAGACATTTAGAAAAATTATATTAAAAAAAAGATAATATATTATTAATTCCACAATCAACATTAATTATTAATTTTACTTTCCTTTTTTGGCAGATAAAATTTTAGAGCATGTTTGCGGAGAATAAAAGGGAGTAAACAGAGGGGAATTTTCTCTTCCCTTTCAGTCGACACGCAAACTGAAATTGTCCTGAGAGTATATTGACCTCAGTGTCATCAGGGCGGGTCTTAACACAAATTAGGAAATATGACTCTAACTTGCACGCATGTTTTAATTAAGCAATTGCCATATCCCATAACGTAATGAGTCATTCGGCGGATACCTTCACTTTCGTCAATATTTATTCATAATCTAGAGAATCTTAACTTACAGTTTTATAAAAGTAATTTTCAATTTAGTAGTTTAGATTGTTTTTTATAGAAACTAATAAATTATTGACAATTTTATTAAAAGTTAATTTACCTGAGATGCAACAGAACAGACAAAAATTTTGCCTTGTTTTCATTGAATCTAGCCTTATTTTCTTGATCACTGTTAACAAAATAATGCAAAATGATAATACAAAAAAAATTTATGCTTGTACAATAATTGAATAAAATCAGGATCATCAGATGATATAATATGAAAATTACTTTCAGTATTAATAATAAGAAGGGATTAAGTTAATTACATTTGACACAAGATATATCTATATCAGAACGCATTGTATTTGTAATCAATCTTACTGTATAGCTGTACAAGCAATAATTTTCGGATGAAATTATCCGAATATGAATGGACCGCGATAATGATTATCGCGACATATTATCAATCCTTGCCGTTGCTATTCAGGCAGATCATACAGTCAGAGAGTCGACCGGACGACGCGTTGATAATGACCATACTCGATAAGAAATACCAGTAAGTTCCGCTAACCCGAACACCCCTCGCGAATGAATGTACACATCTTATTGAAAGGAACGTTTGCGGGTTCTGGCTTATCAATTCGCTTGAATAAAAAGATAAATCTCAAGGCGTGATATCTAGATGAGAGGCGAGAAAAACCTGATTCGTTTTGAAAAAATCAAACAACACTGAGATTTCAAATTTGTTCCAATTTGCTTGATTATACGAAAGGATCATTTCAAGTACACTGATGAGCGATACAATCTTCACGTTGTTTTATAGATGTTTCCGAGTTAATATGTTGTAAAAACTTATGCTTAATAATTTTAATTCAATTTGTGTCTGATGAGACTTGCATGTAATAGTTAATTAACCACATACAAAATATTGAAAATTTAGCTATTTATCTCACATATAATTTGTGAGACGATATAATTATTAGTTTAACAATGATAAGAATAAAATAGTCGTTTCTTATTTCATTGGTATGCGCGATACAACATATAACTTGAGGAATAGCCTTGATGCCATACAGTGGCCGGAAGTGTCTGTTGTTGTCTTTTCAGTTTAAGGAGTGACGGAATCACTGCACCATCGAGTAGTCTGTCAAACAGATGACAAAAAATGGGATTGTACTGAAAATAAACTTATTTAAAAAATTTATTCTTTTTTAAAAAATATGAAAGGAATGCGAATAAAGTTGATACGTTTAAATTATGTAATTACGTTTTTATAGGATCAATAATGTTTATGTAACGCTGACGCGATTATTAAAGTTATGTAATTAGTACGCTTTTATTTTATAGGGAAAACAAAGATGACGTCTCGAAACAAACCAATTAAAATTAAAATTACGACCGTTGGCGATGGTATGGTTGGAAAAACATGTATGCTCATCACGTATACAAAGAAGGAATTCCCAACGGAATATGTACCTACCGTGTAAATATCATAATGCATAACTTAAAGCATTAAGTTAATGCAGCAGCTCTTTGCTAGTAGAGTATTCTAGATCTATTTGTTTATATGCTTTTGTCTCATTTCTTCTTCTGCGTATTTGTCTCATTTCTTCTCCTGCGTTATATTAAAAATGTGTTAAAGTTTTTAAAATATTTAATTTGTTCAATGGAACTGTAATCTCTTATTTATTCGATTGTTATTTACAGTTTCGATAACTACGTTGACAGTATATGCATAGGTGGACAACAATTCGAAATGACATTATGGGACTCGGCTGGTCAAGAAGATTATGAGAGGCTTAGACCATTGTCATATCCAAACGTATGTGATAACTTTCCTAATGAAAATTTTCTCATTTTTTTTTTTATTAATTGGGATTTGTTTCAAAAATACTGAAGAAGTTTACATCTTTTCTTAGAATTTATCATATATATTAATTCTAAAATATTCTAAGATTTTTCATTCTGTTAATTCTGAAAAAAAAACTTTTTTAGATTTCATCAAAAATTATAGAATGAGAGATTTTCAAAAAAGTTATAAAATTAATAATAAATTAATTCTTAAAAATTCTGAAATTTACATAAATATTCTGAGAAATTTTCATCATCTATTTTCAATAATCAAATCGACTTATTCATCTTTATTATTCTAAAAAAAAATGTATCTTTAGATATTCGTGCATATATAATCTTGCATTTATTCTTCTTTGCAGACTGATTGTTTCCTAGTCTGTTTTTCTGTAAGTGCTCGTAGTTCTTTCGAAAATGTAGCAAGTAAATGGCATCCGGAACTCAAAGCGCATTGTCCCAATGTGCCAATTGTACTTGTGGGTAAGTGCATTTTATATATTAAACAGAAATAAAAGATTTGTGAAACAATTATGAAGAAACAGGAATACAAATGCCTGCGCAGTAATTTTCTTTTTGATCGTTTAGAATCGGTTTTTTATTATCTGATTAATTTGATAATGTAAAAATTGTTTTTCTAGCTATAATTAATCACTAATGATTTTGTAGAGGTAACTTTAAATTTATTCACTACAAAATCATCAGTTTAGTGATTAACCATAGACTGTGCAGAGAAAACAGCTTTGCACTTATGAAATTCTTTAATATGAATAGTTTATACACTTATATCCAGTGAGATACTAAGGGTAAGATTAATTACTTTAGCGAATTTTACCACAATTGCAAAGCTGCTTTCTCTGTTAAATGCAGTCATTGACAGAGAAATGTAATTCTTATTATCAAAATAAGTCTAACTACATTAATTAAAATGATAAGTCGTGCCTTAATCTTTTTAAATACTTTTTATATTCTCTTGTAATTTTTTTTTAATATAAATATATATTAATATAAATTTTTTTTTTAGTATAAATTTGTTTACGTTATAAACTTGTTTTCCACACGAATATTATTTTACATTAGGTACCAAGGCAGATCTTAGAAATCATCAAGAAGCTATGGATATTATTAGTCCCCGAGATTGCAACAAAATGAGAAGAAAGATAAAGGCAATCAAGTACGTCGAATGTTCCGCAATAAAACAGGAGGGTCTTGAAGAGGTTTTTGTGGAAGCTATTAAAGCCGTACTGAAAAAACCGCGATCGAGGAAGCTCTGTTGCGTTCTTTGAAACTAATGCATTTTAACACAATTAAAATGCATCAGTTTAAAAAATATCTGACGATTATAATTATTAAGACCTATGTTAAACCAAAGATTTTCTTCTCTTCTTTTGTTCACATGCTTTTTTTCTTGTACATTTTATTCTTAACGATATTCCTAAGATATATTTTACTCTCTTTGTGTGTAGACAAAATTCTCTTGCGTCATGTAAATATATATGTGTGTGTGTGTATGTGTGTGTGTGTGTGTGTGTGTGTGTGTGTGTGTGTGTGCGCGCGCGCGCGCGCGCGCGCGTGCGTGTGGTGCAAAATCTTTATATATATATCTAATATAAATCTTTTTATCTATGTATTTAAAAAATGAATCTTACATTTTCTTTTTATTCTAGTGAGTAGAATATATTTTACATACTTACATTTTTGCAAATTATAAGCAAAATCCTTCAGTTAATAACTTTATTATAAATGTATTACAATACAGGTTTATCAAATCATAAAATTAAAATTAACCCCAGACTATATAACAAATTCTGCATAAAAGTTTCTGTTGGAACAAATAATAACAAGATATATAAGAAGCCTATAAATTCTTTCAATTGAATTTTATGTAAAAAAATTCATAATTTATTTCGTTTCTTAATCACATAAATTACGTTATAGAACTATGATAACAAAATTAAAAAATCACAACTTTGCTTTGTTAGTTTCCATAAGACTTTTTAACTTTTGCGCAAGCATAATATTTCCAGTTATTTTTAATTTCCCACGCATAAATGCCAATTGTGGATTTAATTTTCCTAATGCCTGCAACAATGATATTGTTTAGAAAAAAAAAAAATATTTATTTTTTACACTAATTTGACCAACTTACGATTTCAACCATATCTTTATCTTCTAAAGTAAGTGTCGCGTCTGCTTTCCCAGATTTAGGTTTTCCCTTATGTACCTCACCATTCTTCAAATCGAGAGCTATCAATTAAAAGCAAATATTATTTACGTAGGGTACACACAAATAACATTTTTTGTTTTTTATTGAACTTTCGAAGAACTGTGAAATATGATCATAACAAATGGTTGATTGTTTATCTTTTTATCTACTGATGAAAGATCTCTATGAGACAATTTGTGCACTTCAGAAAGTTTAAAATACATTGCATTCATGCCGAATAAAAAAATTTTTTTAATTGATATTAAAAATTTTCGTTTTAGCCGTTTTTATTTAATAGAGCACATGTAGCCTAAATATCGCAATTTCTTAGACATATTATCAACATTTTCCAGAGTTACTTACTCCATTCAGATATATGTTTCCCATCAACGGTAATATTATAAAGGAAGACCGCATTAACTTTTTTAGCCTCATCCTGATTCTGTTTCACTTGTTCACTGATAGTTACAAATATAGCATCACTATCCAGATTTGTTTTTGCAGAACACAGATTTGCTCGTGGTAATCCCATTTTTATCTCCAACAGATCAACGTAAGCACCTACAAAATAAAATTAACCGTTCTTATTTCGCTACTTTTAAAAAGAAATTTATCGAAATAATAAATAAAATAATATATGTAAAATTCTGTACTAGACTGGAGTATCAGTTATTACTAACCTGTAATAACTGATACTCCGGTCTCGTGGATAAATGTTTGAAAATGTATCCTGTTACCGTTACGCCACATATCAGTACGTAGAGTCTGACCTGGTATAACTGGTTTTGCAAATCTTACCTAGAATATTATAATAAACAAAGATGTTAAATCGCATTAAATCCGTAAGGAATGTCACTAAATGCCTCCTTGCCGCAAATAAGGGGTGCGGTCCACTTAGCTATAAATGCTTCGAAGCTTTTGACCAATCGGAAGAAAGAATTTTATTAACTGACCAATCAAAAAAATGCTTTGAAGCATTAAATGGATCGTAGTTAAGCTTACGTAAATAGATACTACAAAATAATCTCTGATTACAGAATCTATAGGTCATTGAAATAATTTAATCAAAACGGATAATACAAATATTGTTAAGATAAACAATATATGTATATAAAATAAACAGTATGTGGTCAAGATAAAAAAAATATTGCAGATTGCATGAATTTAGTTTCATTACATTATTAATGAATTCAAAACTATCAAATTAATTAATTGTAAACTTTATTTTTACAATAAACTACTATAACAACAAAATTCAAAATAGCACGATTTTCTTCTAAGTATCATAATGTTTATCTTATTTATTGTTTTTCTTGACATATTATATTATTACATTTTTTAAACATATATATTTACCTTTTATGATGAAAAATACTTAATAAATATCCGAATTTAACACTGACTTATGTTGATGACACAAATGTTTCTCGGTTAACAAATGTTTACCATTGAACACTGCTATCACGTTTTATGCTCATTGTGGTTTGTAACTGCTATTTATAGTTACATTGTTTTAGCAGACCATGAGTGTGCATATTACATATATTAATATGATAATTAATGCACAAAAGTTCACGAGGTTTTTAAACAAGGGTTATCAAATATTTTCTTGTAATATAATATAATTTTGTTTTCACACACATTTTTAAAACGAGAAAGTGAATTTCGAGATAGAGATCTAGTTTGTGACAATACTTATTCTTACTAAAAAGATATAAATTTTTTATACATATATATAATATACATATATATAAAGATGATTTAAGTACTGTTAATCTCAGTATTGTTTAGAATAGCAAAAATATATCTTTTTCATATTATAGACTCTACAATGTAAACTATAATTTCTCTTATTTTCAAGATTTCCGACGTAAAAGTATGAACGTTCTGATGAGCGTTCATACTGTCATATTATAACAGATAAATCTTTTTCATATTATTGAGTTATGAATTTAATTTGCACTTCAAATTATTTTGAGTAAAAAATTCATCTTGAAACTTTATGAATATTATATTCTTATTTGATAATTATACCTTAATGGATTTGAATAAATGTGCATCTCCAGCAGCATAAGTTTGAAGAACATGACGGATAGAGAATCCCAGAGAGCACAATCCATGCAATATCGGTTTTTTGAATCCTCCCATCATGGCAACAGCAGTATCAATATGTAAAGGATTAAAATCTCCGCTCAATCTGTACAAAGCAGCCTGTAAAAATAATACCAAAATGTCATTGTATAATTTAATGTATTCAAAATACAAAATTTAAAACAAGACATTCGAATATTTTCATTACATTTATGAATATACTAAGAAACTGAAAATAAATCTATTCGATTTTAAAAGTAAATATGATAATAAGATTAATTTTAATTTTCAAAATAGCGTTCTAGTTTTGAAATTTATCAATATTATTTATTTCTTTAAGTGTATTTAAAACGTAAATTCTAAATTTTTGAGAAATAAGTCTAATAAGTATATTCTTTTTTTTTTACCTGATCATCATTAGTCTTTTGTGTAACTGTTACATCCGGTTTTCGAGTGGGAGGATCTATGGTTGGAATGACAAACGTCGATGTTTGTTTTCCTTTAAAACCACCTGAGCCGACGATAAATGCAGACATCTGCCCACTCGATAGTTTTTCGCCGGTTGTTACATCGTAAGTATCATCTAGAGAAATATGAAAAGTTACATATGTATTTACGTAGACATTATTGCACACATCTTTCACGGTTATTACATCCAAATTACAAATATCTTACATTAATGAGATTAATCATTAACATTGTATTCGTATCACAAATGCTCGTTAAATACATTAATTATGCATATTGTGACGATCCAATCGTTTCATATAAATTATAAAATTTACATACGTTGGATTAAGACAACGGTGCCTTTTCCCTTATCCAAGATGTCTTGAATTTTAAAGCGCGTCTCCACTGTAGCTTCCGTAGGTAATCGTTTATGAATTTCTAGATATTGCTCGCCATGAAGTACCTACAAATATCATGCAAAATAAATTTAAAAATATCAAATAAAATAACGCAATTAAAAAAAATCTTAGTCATACTTGTGTTGGATTAAATGTAAATGGAACAGCATCTTGCACGATAGAAGAATTCATGCAGCCCATAGGTCCATACAAAACAAAGAAAGTGGGTAAAACCGAAAACTCGTCAGCATTCTCATACAAATAACGAATGTCATTTGGTTCTTGAACCGTAGCACCAACTGAACAAAAAACCCGATAAATTTACATTAAATTGCGTAAATTCATGAATCTATTATATTCAGTCTGCTTAACGTACCTCCAAGTGCATACAGTATAATGTCCCGGAAGTTATAATCATTCTTTAAGATATGATCTACCTGTGAACAATGGAAATGATAAAAAATAAACTCTATAATCCACAAAGAAGATTTACGGATACATAACTTACATCATTTAAAGAAGCACTTTTCATTCTCTCGAGAACTCCGAATAGTTCTGTCGTTACTTCCTAAACAGAGATTGTAGGATAAGAAATGTCAAGTTCATTATACTCTTGGTTCAATATACTCTTTTTACCTGGATCGAATTGAATCGTTTTGCCGATGTCATGTCTGTTATTTTCAACCAATTTTCTCGTACGGTTTCTGGTGTAACGTCAACCGATAAATTTTGTCGTAAGACACAACCCGCAGAGCGAATTATATGACCTATAAATTCAAACGTGGCATCTTTTATATTCATTTTTGCAATATTTCTATACTAATTTCAATGAAAGAAATGAAAACATTTATAAGAATATAAGATAGCTGCATATTTTAAACAATATGAAATTTCGAAAACAATTATTCGTTAAAAATTGTATTTTCTTTACAAATATTAACAGCTATGAGGCTAAATATTTTTGATATTCACATTTGCCAGCCCAGCCCAATGCCGTTTCAATCATCGAACCATTTTCTGTACAATCTTCGTGGCACAGCCAAAAGACAACGGGTGCTATCAATTCAGGCTTCAACTGCTCAAAGAAATCTGCGAAATATCAATTAATATTTTAATTTGTTCTTTTAGCAAAATGCATTTGCGTATGTATATATATCAGAGGATTGAATTTATATCTTGAAATGAGGTGATAATAAATTCATTCA